CAAATTGTATCGCATTGTTTGGTTCCATTGCCTCGCTTTCAAAAATTAGAACAGGCGCTCCAAAATCGTAAAACGAAGTTAAAAATTTTATATTGGCCGAGTTCCCCCACTGTTAAGAATATCCTCGCAGCATTATCTGCGGTTAACCTTCCTACGATTTTCAATGTATTTTGCAATGTAATTCACATTCCTCCAGATGAAGAATTTTATTAATCAAGAGTGGGGGAGGTGTGAAAATCCCCATTGGGGCCACATATAACACTATAAATACAATGGGAATCCCCTTAAAATGAAGGTAAAATAGATGTTTTTTCTAAGGATTTCAGACGGATTTACTTTTTACAACTTAAAATCAATAGAACATTTCTAATATAAACTTTCAAAAAGACACCAGAGAGCTAATGAAATAAAATCAACCAGACGGTAAACACTGGCAGGCTTTGTCAATTTCACCATTTGTTTATTTCAAACAGCGTACATTTCGCACATGCGCAGTAGTTTGAGACCTGTGCTACTCGCCTCATATAATACACTGTAGCCTCTATGTGATATCGCTATTCGCAATGCACGATGCTTTCGAGATAGGGGAGACCGGGGCTAGTTGGCCCAGTTAGACACTTTTGGCCTTGTAGAGCCAACTAGGAGTGGGTTAGAGTAACAAAACCGGTTTCAAAGTAAACCCCATGAACTAAGCTACGTATGCAACGTCATTATTTTTCAAATATAATGCCAGGTGGCTCACAATTTGACAAAAAACGCAGTTGACGTTAGGGGGGCCAACTTTTTAAAAGAAAGTAACAAATTCAGTTTTAAACCATTGAGTTTGTTTCAACAATGGTCTCTACCTAGGGAGGGGTGGAAAATCCCCTTGGGGCCACATATAACACTATAAATACAAAGGGAATGCCCTTACAATGCAAATGTTTTTCTACGGAAAGTCCAATGGATTTGCTTTTTTATACTTACAATCAACAGAATATTTCTAATATAAATTCTCAAAAAGACACCAGAGAGAAAATTTTAAAAATCAATCAGACGGTAATAGACACCGGCAAGCTTTGTTAATTTCACAAACTTGTTTATTTCAAACAGCGTTGCGCGCAAAGGTTTGTGGGTAATATGAGGGTCCAACTTGCCCCGAGTCAAGGGGGCCAACTAGCCCCGTGTGCACATTATTTATTTTAAAGGATGGTAGCCTTTTATGGTGCTAGAATGAGCAACGATGATACATCTCTGTGAAACTTGAAACAATGAGCTTCAGTTTGATGCCCTATACATATCTTATATTCGATCAAAAGCCTATGATAATAGATTTTTAAATCTCTTAAACAAAATTACTTTTAGGTGCAAAAATCGTTTATTTCGACTCACCGCTTAAGTAAAACTTTTTAACGTCCGACACTTCCTTAGCATTGCAGGCTACGGTAACTTTGCAAGAGCATGTGGCCAATTTTTTTTACCTCGTAGTTACTTTTTCATAAATTGACGGGGGCCAACTTACCCCGGGGTTCAACTAGCCCCGGTCTCCCCTACGGGGCCCTGGTTTGCAAACAAACGAGATCCCGTCACTAAAGAAAAACAGCACTTTTTAAAAGAATTATTGATAATCCCAATGCTGATTTTTCAGAATAATTTTCACACAGGGGAAACAGGTGTAACAGGAATGGAAGTCCTAGGAATGGAATTCCGGACCCCCATATGATTAGTACAGGTTAGGGTTAATTGGAGGATTTGGGTTTGTATATGGACGAATGTCACCGGCACAAAGTAATGGGAAGCGGACTACGATTCCCAGCGGACTCCCATTCCTGTTTCACCTGGGCTACATGTTTAGTAGGCCCAGTTAAGACACTTTTGGTCTTGTAGAGTATCGTATGTGACATTGAACATTTGCACGACTTGGAGCATATGCAGGTATCACTACCGAGTTTATTGAACATTCGCGAACAGTTACAACCTCTCATCTAAAATGAGCTATACCTGTTGTTATTTGCATAACAACAAGTCCTTCATCGTAGTGCGAGCTGTCTTCCCGAATGCTCATTTGGCAGTTAGGCAGAGTCGGGTGTAGACGCAACAGTATGTGTGGTGCAGTCAGAAGGTCGAGCTTTTATAAGGCGTGGAAGCAAGTTTATGTTTGTGAGTATCACTATTTCTTCATCAACCTCAACCATTAAATCCTAAAGGCACAGAAGAATGATAAAAAATATTTACGACAAATATTTATGACATGAATCCTTTTACTATATTTCCATTGTTACTTGTATGTCACTCAGAATGGTAGAAATTATTGCTTACAGTGCATTGGGACTCCAAATGTTCAGGATAAACGGCGCATTTATCTGACTTTTGATGATAGAAATTCTCTGCACTTTGTAATCCTCTGTTTGAGCGTTTTGTGTGCCCCGGCCTTGACAATTAATTTTGAATATTTTGACCTAATTTTAAATGTCGTGTGTTAAATGTAAGTTTTACCACCCAAATTAATAAATTGGGCGATGCTTTTCACCGTTCTGAGCTTCTGATCCATGATTTCGTCATGTGCTCATTGCACAGTGATTGACAGATACATATTTTACACAGCCTGTCGTCTCCATTGTACCGTGTGTTGTCCATCCATTACACGGTTCACTGCATGAAAACTTGTTATATATGTGCAATATATTTGTTATAATTTTCGAAGAGAATTTGTAAATGATCTCTTTCTCTGAAGTGCATCAACATGTACTACCAGACGTGTTATAACTTTTGATATCAAAAAGAATACCTCACCCACTCTGCAAATGAAACGGGTTATGCTATCAATGTTACTTTTTTAACAAGAGGCCTCAATTATATCATTAACTAATTCCACATCATAATTTTGGTTTTGCGCTAGCTGAACCCGGATTTCAGACTAGTTAATAAACGCCATTCCATTTATATGTGCCCTCTGCCCTGTGATATTACATGCAATATAAGAATGTAGAGAGCCTGTCTGTTAAGTTCAAAGTTGTAAACATTATTTTATCTTTTCAGGAGCTCAACGAGATTCTGCACAGCATCCGGCTGAAAAATGAAGTCTAGCCTTTGTTTCAAACACAGGAACCCACGCTCTATACATCTATTATATGAAAACTCAATAAAAAACTTTTGTCATTTGGCGTTTTATTTTTCACTTTGTTATGAAATTATTGTGATAAGGATAGTAGTAATCATAATGGAAAATGAGTTACTTTTAGTGTTTGAGGACTTTCAAATTCAATCTGAACTGTTAATAATTTAAATGTTTTTGTGGTTGACGGTTTTATGTAACACCTAAATTAAAAAAAAAACTCCATGCTGTTTTAGCGCACTGATATAATCTAAAATGGTTTCCAACAACAACATTTTATAGTCCACATTAATATAAATTTAAAAAAAATCACGAGATTTTCTGTAGCATGTGGAACTAATTCGTTTGGATATAATATCTCCTATATCTTCTTATATTGGGAGGGTCCCATTTTGACAGGTTTTGGCATTTGCTATCGTGAACTGTTTTAATTTGGCGGCCTTTTCTGAGTATAAATACTTAATTTGATATTTGAACGTAATAATGAAAATGTGGGGTGCCATTCCCGTTATACCTGGGCTACATGTGTAGTAAGCCCAGTTAAGACAATTTTGGCCTTGTAGAGTATCGTATGTGACATTGAACATTTGCACGACTTGGAGCATATGAAGGTATCACCACCAGGTTTATTGAACGTTCGCGAACAGTTTCAGTAAAAACCTCTCACCTAAAATGAGGTGATTCTGATGTAAGCTTAAATCAAGTTAGTTTTTTGAATGGATACGGCTGAAATTGGCCAAAAATCTCTGAGGGTAAAACGGAACAATTTCTTCAGTTCCAGTTCTCTGAACCGTATGGGAATAATTACAAGACTCACCCTACCTGTCGACCCTTTTTATGCAATGGACTCGCCCCACCTGTCACCCCTTCTAATGCAATAGACTCGCCCCACCTGTCACCCCTCTAATGCAGTGGACTCGCCCCACCTGTCACCCCTCTAATGCA